AGCGGCAAGAGCCTATCATGAATGCGAAACCATCGGCTAATGGGGAAGTAGTATAAGCAGCTGACGGTACTCCATACGCTAATAGGACACTTGGAGAGTTACAATGTTGTGGATGCCACAACACATTGAAGTTGACTCTTTTTGTGCATTTGTGAAATACTATCAGCTCTGTTTAGTAGATTGACACTCCAAATGCGAATGCAGCACGAATGTTCAAAAAGAAAGACCAAATCTTTTTGACACAATAGAACCCCGATGTTTTGGGGAGCTTTTGATAATAACGCTGAGTATACCACAATAAAATTAATGATACCGGATTGAAACGGCGAATGCACAGTGTGAAGAAAAAAACCATTTCTCACTTTACACCAGCAGCTCTGTTGCAACGTCCCTTTGCTTCTAGTTGCCTAGGGGACCATTTAAGCGCCTGCAGTGCATAGGACGCAGGACCGCGTCTCAAACATGGGTCGAAGGAAAGTATGTTCAAGAAAGAAACATTGCCACGACCCGTAGGAGAACGAGTGAAAAATGGAACCTCGATGTTCTGGGGAGTTATCGACACCTCTAAGGAAATCTTTTCTATTCCACCAACCTCTGAACAGAAAAGACTGGTACATGGGCAACACGAACCAAGATTTAAACCTGCTGAGTTGTGCAGTCTGTCGTTTGCGATCAGCCATCTTGCTTTACGCCAAAGTTTCGAAATTAATAGGTTAGCACTGGGAGCACGGCGTGATCAGGGAACTTTCTGCTTGAACAAAGGGACACTTTCCAAGATAGGAGCATTTTCCATCGTTGAAACGTGTCCAACGCCCCTTTCATTCTGCTGTCGATTCCGTAAGGTCCGTTATTGAACACAGAGATGAGTAATACGACGATTTGCCCCTCTTCAAGCCTCGATTCATTTACTCCAACACGGTGGTCACATGCTATTTAAACATGAACTTAATCTTCTTAGGTTCATTTTCAGTTTTACTTTTATGGCGCAGTGGTTCAGGCTGTTGAATTCTTCTCAGGACGTATCTGGATATTTTCCAAGGATCAGAATATCGTCGTTGGGAAAGCTCAGGTGCCTTTATGATCCTACATCCACAGCCCCTGATTATCCCAAAGAAATGTTTTAAGAACCTCCTCTGCGGCTGCTGTGAATATCTTCTGTGATATTGCCTCGTTTGTTTCAAAATTAAATTTGCTTTGTTATTGTTAAGTGTTATTGAAGTCACATTAGTATTGGAAATCACGGTTATGGCATCTCTATCGTTACTCGATCCTTAGCTTCTCAGGATATCTAATACAGACCATGTCTAAGCTGAGTCGAAGACGTTCATGAAATCGATGAGTCAGAGAGTAAAAGCTAATATTTATATTTATATTATTTGTTTGATTTACTCGATATACTACCCGAAGAGGACCTTTCATTAAAATCTACCTCTG